ATCTATATCTTTATATTAATATCACAGTTTTTTGATTACTAAAGCTTTATAAGTCTTGAAATCAGGTAGTGTTAGTCATCAACTTTCTTTTTCTCTTCCAAATCCTTTGAACTTCATAGAGTCAGTTTGTAAATTTTTACAAAAAAAGCCTGCTGGCATTTTGATTGGGATTTCGATGAGTCTACAGATCGACTGAAAGAGAATAGATATATTAATATTGCTGTGTCTTCTGACCCATAAATAAGAAATGTCAGCAGCAATGTTTTGTAATTTTCAGTATACAGGCCTTCCATATATTGTGATAGATTTGTTCCTACATATTTCATATTTTTGATGTGATTGTAAATGATTTTATTTCAATTTTTCATTGTCTTTTGTAAATATGTAGAAACGAAATTCATGTTTGTTTGTTAACCTTGCATCCTACAATCTTGCTAAATTCACTTATTAGTTTTAGTAGCTTTTTTTGTATATCCCACTGAATTTTCTACATAGATAAACATGTTGAATGAAAATACAGTTTCACTGCATTATTTCCAATCTATATGCCTTCCCCCACCCACCCTCCCACACCCTGTTTTCTTGTACTAACTAGAACCTCCCTTACACTGTTAAACAGGCATGGCAAAAGCAAACATCCTTTCATTTTCTTGCTGTTAGGGAAAAGCATACACTCTTTTACCATTAAAGTATGATGTTAGGTGTAGATTTTTCACAGATGCCATTTAGCAGATTGAGGAAGTCTGTTCTGGTCGTACTTCACTAACAGTCTCTATTAGAAATGCATGTTGGATTTTGTCAAGGCATTTTCTGCGTAAAGTTAAATGACTACAAAGTTTTTTTAGTATGCTAATATGGTTAATTGCCCCAATTATATATATTTTTATTTATATTTTTTACAAATTCTGTTGAGAATTTTTGCATCTATGTACATGAGGGATATTAGCCTATAATTTTTTTACAATGTGTTTGTGAGGTTTTAGTATCAGGTTAGTGTTAGCCTCATAGAATGAGTTGGGAAGTATTCCCTCCTTTCAATTTTCTGGAAGAGTTTGTATAGAATTGATAATATTTTCTCCTTTAAATAATTGATACAAATCAGCAGTAAGTCATCTGGTGCTGGAGTCTTCTTTGCAAAAATGTTTTTAAGTACAAATTCAATTTGTTGAATAGATGTAGGGTTGTCAAGTTATTTATTTCTTCTTGAGAGAGTTTTTGGTAATTTGTGTCTTTTGAGTAATTTATCATTTAATCTTAGATGTTAAATTTATTATTATTTTTTGCATTACCAGTAAATTGTCTTTGTCTTTTTAAAATTAAACTTTTATTTTCAGATAACTGTAGATTCACATGCATTTGTAATAAATAACATAAAGCCCATATACTCTTCACCCACTTTCCTCTGCTAGTAATACCTTGAAATCAATAATATAATATCATAACAAGAATAATAAAGTTGATCAACCCACCAGTCTTATTCCAATGTCCTCAGTTTTACCTGTCTTAGTTTGTGTGTTTATTTAGTTGTATATAGTGTTCTCACCTGTGTAGGTCTGTACATCCACCATCAGTCAAAATACAGAGCAGCAGTTTCATCTTCACAAGAGGGCTCGTGTTGCTCTTCTACAACCATAGCCGCCTCCCTCCACCCTTCCCACATCCTTCCTAAACCTTAGCAACCACTAATCCGTTCTCTATTTATAAAAATTTGTCATTTCAAAAATGTCATACAAGTGGAATCATATAGTATCTGAGTTTTAGGGACTGGCTTTTTCCTTCAGCATAATTACCTGGAAAATCATACAAGATGTTGCATGTATCAATGATTCATTCCTTTTATTACTGAGTAATACTCCAGGATATGGACATACAACAATTGGTTTAACCAGTCATCTGTTTAAGGACACCTGGGTTGTTTTTGGTTTCTGTCTAACACAAACAAAGCAGCTATGAACATTCAAATACAGGCTTTTATGTGAATATAAGTTTTCACTCTCTGAAACATGCCTAAAAGAATAAGTATTGAGCCATACAGTAATTAAATATTAGTTGTTAAGAAAACTGCCAAACTTCTCTAGAATGGCTGTGACACTTTACATTGCCACCAGCAATGTATTAAGTTTCTCCTCATCCTTGCCAGCACTAAATTTTGTCACAATTTTTTATTTCAGCCATTCTAATTTTTTATTTTAGCCATACCTCATGGCAGTTTAATTTGTATTTCCCTAATGGCTAATGATGTAGAACATCTTTTCATATGTTTACTTGCTATCTGTATATCCTCTTCAGTGAAATGCATGTGCATGTGTTTTGTCTTATTTTCTGATTGGATGGTTTGGTTTTTACTGTTGAGTTTTGAGAGTTCTTCATACAGTCTAGATTCTAGGCCTTTTTCAGATATGTTGTTTGTAGATATATTCTCCAGGTCTGTAGCCTGTCTTTCCATCCTTTTAACAGGCTCTTGCACACACAAAAAAAGGTTTTAATTTAATGAGACCCAATTTATCAATATTTTCTTTCATGAATCATGCTTTTGGTGTCAAGACTAAATATTCTTTGCCTAGCCTAAGGTCCTCAAGACTTTTTCCCATATTTCTTTTTATAAGTTTTATAGTTTCATGTTTTACATTAAATTCATGATCCATTTTGAGTTAATATTGCATGAAGGGAGAGATACAGGTTGAGCTTTATTATCTTGCCTATGAATGTCCAAATGCTCCAACCACTTGTTGAAAAGTCTCTCCTTCTTCCACTGAATTGTTTTTACATCTTTGTCAAAAATCAGTTTGGCATACCATGTGAGTGTATTTCTGGATTCTACATTATCGTCCATTGGTCTATATGTCTATTCCTCTCCCGAAGCCATACTGTCTTAATACAGCTACAGAGTAAGCTTTATTCCCAGTTTATTCTTCTTTGTCAAGATTGTTTAAGCTTTTCTAGGTCCTATGTCTTGCCATATAAAATTTAACTATATCTATAAACAACTTTTCTGTGATTTTGATAGAAATTAAATTAAATCTATAGATCAAATAAGGGGGGAACTGACATCTCTAATATGTTGTGTCTTTGATTTCTTACTTCTGCATTTTTAAAGTTTCAGCATAAAAACCCTGTACATATTTTAAAGTATATACCTAAGTATTTCATTTTCTTTCAAGCAATTATAAATGATATTGACTATTCAATTTTGACTTCTGCAAGTTCATTGTTACTTTATCAAAATGTGATTAAATTTTATGTAGTGATCTTATAACCAGTGACCTTGCTGAACTAACTTAATAGCTTGACAAAGTTTTTTGGTGTGGATCTCTTGGGGTTCCTATGTAAACAATACATTACCTGAAAAAGTGACAGTTCTATTTCTTCCTTTCCAATTTGTATGCTTTTTATTTCTTTTGTTGTCTTGTTGCCATGGGTAAAGCTTCTGGTAATATTCTGAGTGAGAGTGATTAGAATGGATGCCCATTTCTTTCTTGATCTTAGGAGGAAATTAATCAATCTTTAACTATTAAGTATGACTTTAGCTGTAGGTGTTAGGATGACATACGATGAAAAAGTTGCCCTCTATTCTTATGTTGCCAAGAGTTTTTATCATAAATGGGTGTTGGATTTGGTCAAGGTTTTTTTCTGCACAATTGATGTAGCCATATGTTTTCTCTTCTTTAGCCTGTTGATATGCTGGATTACATTCATTGATTTTCTAACGTTTAACCAGCCTTGTGTATCCAAAATAAATCCCCCTTGGTCATGAAGTATAATTCTTTTAATGTATGGCTGGATTCAGATTACTAATATTTTATTGAGGCTTTTTGCATCTCTGTTTATGAGGGAGATTGGTATGTAGATTTCTTTCTTTTTATACTGTCTATCTGGTTTGGGAGCCTCGTAAAATGCATTATGAAGTGATTCCTCTTATTTCTTGAAATAAATCAGTTTAGTTATTCTTTGATTATTTAGTAAAATTCCCCACAGAGCCATCTCAGTCTGGGTATCTCTTTTTCAGAAGTTTAAAAATTATGAATGTAATTTATTTAATGATTTTAGTGCTATTCACATGGTCCATTTTATCTTGGTTGAGTTTTGGTAGTTTGTGGGTTTTGTGGGAGTGATCCGTTTTTTCTAAGTTATCAACTTTATGAATGCAAAGTTGTCCATTGTGTTTATTATCTTTTTAATGACTCCAAGATCTATTGTGATGTCCTCTATTTCATTTCTGATATTAGTCCTTTGTGAATGCTCATTTTGTCTTTGTCAGCCTTCCAAAGGTTTTATCAGTTCTTAAGGTTTTTTTCTCCAAAGGAAGAGGTTTTTGTCTCACTAATTTTCTCTATTATTTTTCTATTTTTCAATTTCATTGATTTATGCTCTTTTATTCATTGTTTCCTTCCCCCTGCTTGCTTTGGGTCTATTTTTCTCTTCTTGCTCTAGTTTCTTGGGGCAGAAACTCAGACTGTTGATTAAATACCTTTCCTTGTTTCCAACATAAGCATTTAGGGCTATAAACGTTACTCCCAATGCTATTTTAACTTCATCCTCCATAGTTTGATATATGGTGTTTTTGTTTTCATTCGGTTTTAAATATTTTTTATTTCCTTTGAGACTTCCTCTTTGACCTCTGAATTATTTAGGGCTCTGTTGTTTAAATTCCATGTGTTTAGACATTTTCCTGCTGCCTTTCCATTATTAATGTCCAGTTTGATTCCACCATGGTCAGAGAACAAACTCTATGTGATTTCAATTATTTTAAATTAGTTCAGATTTGTTGTAATGCCTAGTGGGGTTTAGAGAATCAGCTTTCCACTCAGTCCTACTGATGATTCCAGCAGAGAACTCAGAGCATCACCATCTGCTTCCACCACGTGGGGAATGGAAGTTCGGCTCTCTGGTCAGCTACACGAATACCACTCAGCTGGGGGATCAGATCATCGTCACTTATTTCCATGGGGCAGGGGAGCGGCGTGGAAGACCAGCTTCTTGCTCAGCTCCATTGAACTCCCAGGGAAAGGGGTGTGGTTGTTCCCTTGATGTATGGGTGGAGTAGGGCAGATAGTGCCAAAAAGTTTACTATGTTTAGGCCAACATTTTCCTGGTCCTTTGGCTAGGGGAAACAGACTTTTCTTGAATGATTTTTTTTTTGTCTGTGCCTTTTAAAGATGAGGTTGGAGGCTTCTGTTGTACCCTATCTAGGATACACGGGAAACAGTAACAAAATCCAGAGGAGTCACTGCCATGTCATTCCTTAAGTCCAGAGGTCTCCAGGCATCCCACCTACTTTTTTTCCATCATTCAGAGTCTTCTTATGCTTATTTGTTGTGTTATGTCCAGGACTTTTTAGCCAAGACGGAGGACCTAGGAGGAATGGAGCTACTCTGTTATTGCTGGGACTAGACATCCCTCCAGCAATTTATCTTATAATTAGACTTAGAAAACAAGGAAAAAAACTTAAATATTTACCCATGCAGTTACCAAATCCTTTGCATTTTATTCTTTAATGTCAATCTGTATTTCCACGCGGTATGATTTTCCTTCTGCCTAAAGTACTCCCTTTAACATTTCTTGTACTACAAGTTTGTTGGTGATGAATTTTTTGTTTTATATATATTTAAAAGTCTTTATTTCACATTTCTTTTCAAAAGATATTTTCACTGTGTATAGATTCTACAATGACAGTCTTTTTCTTTCAACTTTAAAAATGTCACTCTACCGTGTTTTCTCTTGCATTTTTTTCTGATAAGAAACTGGCTGCCTTCCTTGACTGTGTTCCTCTGCAGAATAAGTTTTCTTGCTCCCTATTTTAAGATTTCTCTTTGTCACTGCTTCTGAGAAGTTCAATTCTGATGTGACTTGGTGTGGTTTTCTTCATGTTTCTTATGCTTGGGATTCATTGACTTTTTGATCTACAGGTTTACAGTTTTAATCTAATTTGGAAAATTTCTGGCCACTGTTGCTTCAATGACAAATTTATTAAGCTACTTGAAAATTTTCTACAGCTTGTTGATGCCTGGCTTTTTGTTTGTTTTGGTTTGGATTCTCTTTCTTCTCTTTGTCACATTTTGGATAGTTTCTATGGTGCCTTGCAGTTCACCAATCTTTTGTTCTGCACTGTCTGATCTGTTCATCAGATTCCATGCATTCTTCATCTCATACATCATAGTTTACACCTCCAGAAGTTTGATTTGTATCTCACTTGTTATCTTCTATGTCTCTCCCTAACTTTTGGAGCATATCAAATACAATTGCAATAACTTTTAATGTGCTCACACTAACATCTGAGGCAGTTATATGTATGTTTTAATTTTTCTATTTGAATTTTTTCCTCATTATAGGTCTGTATTTTCATGCTTCTTTGCATACCTGGTATTATTTGGTTGGATGCCAGAAAATTTCAGGTTTACTTTGTTAGGTGGTGGATATTTTTGCTTTCCTATAATTATTCTTAAGGTTTGTTCAGGGATGCAGTTAAGTTCCTTGGCAACAGTTTGATCCTTTTAGGTCTTCCATTTAAGATTTTCTAGGCAGAACTGTAGCCATATTAGGTTGTTCCCAGTACTGAGGTAAGACCCTTCTGCATACTCTACCCAATGCCTATGGGATTATAAGGTTTCTAGTCTAGCTTATGGGAGTAGTCACTATTCCCAGCTCTGAGTGAGCTCAGAGCACACTTCCCTGCAACCCTCTGGAATGATCCAAGCCTAGATTCCAGTAGTTCCCTCACATGTAAGCACTGATCAGTACCCTGACTTGTCCTGGATTTAAAGTCACCTTGCAGGACAGACAATAAGATGAAAAACACATTCACTAGAAGGGCACTCTTGAAATGCATAGCCTCAGGCCAAGACTGGAGGATTAGAGAAAAGAATCTGATTTCCTTTCTCTCATTAGCTCATTAGAAAAAACTGCTTTATCAGAGGGTCACATGGTTATTATATAGTCTAAGAAGACAGGACACAATACACTATCACCTGGATTTTTTGAAAGTTTCTTACAAATGTCTATAAATGGCAGTGGTTAACAAATGCCATATATGGACCTCCTGAGAGGCATGTTAAAAATACAGATTCCTGAATTTTGGCCAAATGTTGATAACTGTAGACTTTGACTGATGAGTACATGGGGGTACATATACTCTTCCACTTTTGTATATATTTGAAACTTTCCACCATAAAAAAGCTTAGAAGAAAAACAAAATATATTAAGATTTTTGGGTCTCTAGGCCTAAAGCCCAATTTATAGCTCTGAAGTGGGACCCAGGAATCTGCATTTTCACAAATGTCCTAGCTCAGGTGGTCATTTGACCACATTTTGAGAAACACTGGTACACTCATTTCTAAGTGATTCACTTGCTCAACTTAATTGTCTGTGTGGCTATTGTTTTTACAACTAACGTACTTGTCCATGGGCCTCCAGCCTCAAACGTTCAATTAAGCAAACATTATTCTCAGTTTATCAAGCTCTTACCTGAACAGGCTCTATAGGACAGGGATCTTTGAAGCCAAAATTGTAAGAACGAAACTCTCCTCCAGTCAAGGAAGCAAGCTCTTTCAAAAAGCCATTTGCAATCTCATCATTGTAACTGAAGGAGATGGTGTAAATAGGAATTTTCTGAAAAATCTTGACTTGGTCTATCACCATTTCAGGTGGCTGAAATGATAAATTTTGAGGGAGGGAATGGGAGATGAGAAGAGAGAAGAGAACAAAAAAATAAGATGTAAAAACCCTTAGTGTTTACTACAGATAGTGAAATCCTCAACTTGTAATTCCCTACATAGAAGTGAGTGGCTTCTTTGAAAGGTGTCAATCCAATTCAGGGAGCAAAGCCAATACTACCAGACAGCGAGAGACCAATATCACAGCCCTTTCCCTCTGTGGGGTCACAGTTTGGTGGGGAAAACGATCAGAGAGAAAGATTTGGCTAACCAATAACTCAGCTTTCGGGGCACCGAAGCTTAGAGTCCATACTCTTAAGTACTAGGCTATGCATAGAGCATTTAAAGTACTGGAGTCGGAAGCCATGAGTAGAACATCCTGACAACCAGGATTCTGCAGAGTGGGGCGCTGGACCTTGATGTGGCTTCCTAAGATCATCACAAAAAGAGCAGTCTCCAGCCTCAGACAGCCATTGTCAATGTGCCTCCCATGGAGTGAATGAAGGGCCATTAAGTGTCCTTCTGTGTTCTGGGCACTCTGTTGGGGTATAATATCCTGGTCAGTCCTCACAACCGTCTTGTGAATTAGTTCTGGAAAGACTGTGCCTTCTCAATACCCTGAGAGCAGGAGTGTCACCAGTGCATCCCCTCCGGAAGCTCTTTGCCAGTATCTATCAAAACATATGCCTTTTGACTGAGTCTACTTCTTAGATATACTCATGTACAAGATACTATATGTGCACAGTTACTTGTGCAACATTGTCTATAACAGAAAGATAGAAAACAATCAAAATGTCCATCTACAGAATGAATGGCTAAATAGCTGTGTGATGGAATAGTAGGCAGCTATCAAAGCTGAGGAGGCATTTTATGAAATGATATTAAGCAACCTCCAAGTTATATTGTTTTATTATTAAAGGTTAGAATTTTGTGTGTAACTTGCTACCATTTGTATATTTTAAAAGGAGATACACACACACACACACACACACACACACATATCTGCTTGCAAACAAACTATCTCTGAAAGAAGATACAAGGAACTGGTAATATACGTTGCCTCTTCATGAGTAAACAGAAGATGGGAGGGAGAATTTTCCCTATATAGCCTTTTGTACCTTTGTAATTTGTACAATGAAAATGTATTACTACCCTAAAATTAAATAAAAATTTAGTTTTTAAGACAGAAGTTTCATGAAATCTATATAATGGAATATGATGCAGTCATTAAGAATGTTTCCGAAACATTTCTCATGAAACAAACCTTATGCATATGAGATTTTTTTAAAAAGCAAACACAAAATTGAATTATGAATGATTTAAGTTTTCTTCTTCCTTATGTTTGTACACTTGTCTAGATTTTATAAATTGCAATAAACTCAGTAAGAGTTTATTAAATAGAAAAAGACCCCTTGTCCAGATGACTTTCAAATTAGAATCTCCAGCCCACATCCGCCCCAAATGCCAGCCTCAGATTTCTGGGGCTTCTGACATCTGTGGACTGCAGGTGCTCAAGCCCAGCTTCCCCCACCAGCAACCTCCAAACCTGCTCCTTCTTTGAATTTAAACAAGTTAATAACATAATCATTATAACCAAAAATCAGTCATCTTGACCCCTTTTTCTCCCTTGCTCCCACCTCTTCTCATGCTGCCCTCTTTCCCCTGCCAAATTGGTCACCAAGTCCTTGGAGGCTACTTCTATTATCTCATCTCTGAAGAGTTTTCTTGTCTCCATTTCTGTTGCTGCTATCCAAGGTGGGCCCTTACCAGATCTAGTCTTTCCCTGGCACTAAGGAGGCAGAGTTATAAAATACAGATGTATGAGACCATCTGCTTCTTGGAGAGTCCCCACTGTGGGGAAGCCTGCTCTTTCCATGTGGTATTCAAGGACCTCACAGTCTCCCCCAGCCTAGCCTTCGAGCCTCTGCCCTGACACTTCTCCATCATTGCCCTGCTCTCAGGCTGTTTCTCAGAGCAGCTTCTCTGTTCCTTCTGCCCAGGATACCAGTAATCGCCTCTGTTTGGAAAATTCTTTCTCCCCGTTCCAGACACAGCTGAAATGTTCCCTCCTCAGTGGAAACGGCCTGTCATCTCTCCTTCATGCACAGCAGAATTCATCACTCTGTGCTCTGAAACATCTCATGGCATAAGCAAGCCCACTCCCCACATCATGTGAGAGTTAACCATATATCTAGCACATTCTCCAATGTCACCTTCCCTAAGGCAGGGATATTATTCACCTCTGTAGCCTCAAACCTTGACACCACACACAGAACATGAGCAGGGCACAATACATTGCTTCCACAGAGAAAGTACTGTGAGATTGGTAAAAAAAAATCATTCCGAATAAAATTTCATTTTACATAGAATTTGTCTGTCATAATAAATCTAATGCTGCAGTAAAATCCAATTGCTTTGCTGTTTAAGCCCTAAACCGTTGGACACAGAATATATTTTATACTAATTGCCTAGCAGTCTTCACAAGCAAACACCTCACGATGAAGGAAACAAGTTGGTACTAATTCACTTTGGCAGTTAATTCACATTGTACTGGCCTGCAAGTCTGTGTATTTATATAATGCTCAGTGCATTAGTTTTCCATTCACAAAGCTCAAAAGAAGATGAACAGACACCACCAAAACTTTTCAAATATTTTCCAGTCAGGCTAAACAAAACAAAGAACATTCCACTAGAAAGGCCTGCTTTTGTTTAAATGATTACTAAGTTAAAATTAGGGGTAAAACCAAGGACGTTGTGCAGTGACATGTTTAGATTCAGAATCTCCAAAGGAAAAAAATCAAAAAGAGTCTTCTCACTCTTAGTCTATAATAAAATATAAACCAGTCTTCATTGGAAGGCGGAGATCTCCTTACATGGGGTTGGTTTCCAGGCCTGCAGGCATGTGTCACACTAACCAGATGACATTCATGGTCACATAAATTCTCCTCAGTGTTTCAGGGGAGAAACAAAGGGATTCCTCTGTATATTTTCTCACTTCAGTTCTGGGTCCCTCAGCCAAGGAAATATCTCCCAACGGCTTTTTGACAGCAACTGAAAGTTCCCCCAAACCATTCTGGTCCCCAAAACCATTCTCAGCATTGACTTTCAGAACACTGGTGAGTTCCTCTTTGTCCCCAACTTTGATAAGTACCTGATCGGGTCTGCCATCTGTCAGAAGGTAGATGGCTTGTGTTTCTTTATCAGCAAAAGCAAGCTGCAAGGCGTTTAGAGTGTTTGTGGAACTTCCAATCTATAGGGAAGACAGAGAAAGAGAAGCCAAGCACACACTTGAATCTCAAAAAAGACCTCAAACAAGTGTTATTTATTTTCTGCTTCCCCCAAAAAAAGTACTTGTGAAATAAAAGGTAAATTAACATTATATTGAGATAATAATTTAAGCCCAGTAATTCCAGGAAGCCAAACCTTGGTGTGCCATGAGCCTCTGACGGTCTCAGGAAGCCAAGACTATGGACTTCCTGTCCTGATGGCAGAGCTCTTCATGCAATTTTATCTTTGTGTATTTCTGTGTGAAGCACTAACTCAGTTACTGCTCGCTCAGCTGTCAGCACAGCTTAACCACGCAGCCTGAGTACACCCTGGCAGGGATCAGGTTTGTGTCAAACCAGGATTGACTCGTGACACCCAGAATTCGGCAGACACGAAGGTGATATCACTAGCTATCTGCATGTATAGCAAAGAAACTGCAAATTTTAAAAACTCCTACTGCAGTTTCTGCTCAGAGATGCAGAGCACTGGCAAGAATGTTACTCTGAAACTCACGATAAAAAGAAAGCCAGCAAGTCAGCAAGCACGTAACTGCTATTACACCCATCGGAGTGCTCAGGTCACGGGGTAACCAACTGGCCCCAAATATGGGGGAGACGGGCACCTGCAGAATCTGGCGTAATGCAAGTGATGGCTTCCTGGGCAGGACATAGCCAGACACTCATAAGGAGAGTTTGGCTGGGGTAACTGGTGAACTGGTAGAGGCCGCCCAGGTGTACACTGGTGACAGGTAAAAGCCCGGAGACCACGACTAGAAAGGAGTCTGCATTCTCTCCAAGGCTTTGCCACCACAGGCCCCACAGGGCGCTCACAGAAAAGAGGGAGAGTCCCAGGGAGTCCCCTTCATGATGCAGGACAGTGAGAGAGCAACACATACATCTCCACAGAGGCCCTTCCTGTCTCCCCTGCAAAACAAAAGCCTTAATCTGTGTGTGGTGGGGAAGAGGGGAGAAGGCTTGAACATGGCGCCCTTAGGGACAGCTGGGGAAAGAAAAAGGGAAAAGCAAAGCCTCCACACCTGTGGGAGGAGCAGTTAAAACACTAAGGGGAGTGGATTAATGTAACCTTTGTAAACAAATGAGCTTCTGTGTGAAGCTACCACCATGCTTGGGGCTCAGAGCACTTCCTCAAGAATTTCTCTGCCATGACAACCTCAGCAGGCGATCAAGTCAAACTGCTTCTCCCAGACCCCCTTCCATCTTACCTTAATGTCTCTCACCCATGACTGAGCCCCTTTCAAATTATCTTCATCAATTTCAACAAGTTTTTCCTGCCAAGCAACTGCTTGAGCATCAAACTGCACAAAATTGAATTTCTTTTTATATTTCAGCTGTTCCTATAAGAGACAATTATTATTTAACCATAAAACCACTCAAATGAAAGAAAATTTTATGACAGGTGATGTTTTGATAAATTTAAATCACTATGATATGTTTTCAGTCTAGAAGCTAAAAATTACATTCAATAGAGAAAGTCTTTTCTAGTACAAAAGGCATTTAAGTAAAATTTACACACAGTTTGGATACTAAATCTTAACAAGTGTAAATATGTATAAGTATATATTATATATATCACATATACATATAAGTTTATATATATAATGACATTAATGTCTTTAATGCTGATATTGATGGTATACCAAATATGCACACTAAATCCAACATGCTTAAAGGAAAGGAAACCCAACACAGTGTCACATTTAGGTCACCCTCGTTTTGGTGAGGCCATTATTCCGTTACATATCTATTCACTTGCCTTCCAAGAGCCCATATTTCTCCAGCAGAGGTCTACCAAATTAGAAGCTGTGTTTTGTAGTTGTCAACACTCCCCACGATTATTTTCTGTGGTTAATACTCACATCAGCACCACCGGCGATCCCCGCTTCTGGGTGTGGAAACTCGAAGTTAGGAAATGTGGGCCGTGGCTTCAGGACCCACAACTCAGAGGCAGCACAGGTGCAGTAAGAAGGGGACACTCCTAATCACCAGCCTGCCCCCCTCCCACACCTCAGTGCTGGGGCCAGGGCACACAGCACCCTCATAAATGCTGAAGTTCACATTCAAACGCTGAGCTGATACATATCTGGCAAACCATGGAAGTGTGTGCACACAGCAGACTTCAGAAGAAAGAAAACCTGAAGCAATGGACAGAGAAATTCCCTAAGCAATGCATGAGTTAATAGAAGGGATCTGCTGAAGAGAGCTCTGCTTTCAAAGGAGAACTGAAGGTTCTCTAACGGCAGGAGGGAGCTTTCCCCTAAATGGCTTTCCTGTGGACTTCTGTGTGCAAAACTCGCCTGTGCCTCTCCCTTGACCATGGTGGAGATGTACCCATGATACACACAGGCCCACAAATGCATGAACTGATGGCTCCATCTAACCTGTATGAACTGGATAATCTTGTCCTTCACGAAGACCAATTTGTCTTTCATTGAGTGAGACGTATCAACAAGGACATAGATGCAATCGTTCCGCACTCTTCCAAAAAGGATTTGACTCCCATCCTGTAGCCATTTAATCCTAGGCAGGAAATAGGTTGCAAGTGAATGGATAAAGCCAATGGCAACAAGAGCATCTTCCTAAGAACTGAATGATACGTGTATGGAGGCCAGGTCTGTTTTGTATTGTTTACACACAATCTTCTGTGAGTCGATTACTCACTTTCAGGGGTTTCTGTGGAAAATCCTATATTTAGGCTGGCTGTCTCATCAGCCCCCCTCCACTGTCCATCATCAATCTAAGTAAAACAAAACTAGGAAAATCAATAGGACAGAAAAATCAATTCAGTACTGGGTTTTGAAGCCAAAAGTAAATTACCGCCAGTCATCTGAGAGTATGAAGCCCTCAGCCCTGACTCAGGCCATTTGCTCTCCCAGCCCTGTTGAATGCAGTCTAGCCAGTGATGCCAGCACATTTCTGAAGCTTATGGACAGTATCAAGCAACCCCAGCTCCCTATAACAACCAAGCATCAGGTGGCTGTATGAACAGGACTGCTTCTGGGATCAAGGCTCAGGCTCCCATGACAGGATGTAAATTAAGTGTGTGGCTACATGCAAAGCCTGAGGAAGGAGGAAGTGCAGAGGAAAAAATTATTTGAAACTGAGTTGAGTTCTGCAAGGCCTAGACAACTTGAATTTGTAGGACAAATACAGAGGATTGAATGAAATGAAATACGACATATCAAAATTTGTGAGAGGTGGCTAAAGTGGCAATCAGAAGAAAATTTATAAAATTAAATGCTTATATTAGAAAGAAAGAAAAGTCTCAAATAGGTGATCTAAGCATTCATCTTAAGAAACTTAAACCCAAAGTAAGGAGGAAAAAGGAAACAAAAAGATGAGAGTAAAAACAATGACATAGAAAGAAAACCCTATAGAGAAAAAAAATAAAACCAAAAGTTGGTTCTTTGAAAAGATGGATAAAATGGACAATCTCTAGCCAAGCTGATTAGAAAATGAAGATGACATAAATTACCAACATAATTTCTATGTGCATTTAAAGAAATTGAATACATAGTTAAAAACTTTCTGACAAAGAAAAACTCCAGGCTTCAGTGATGAATTCTACAAACATTTAAGGGAGAGATGATACCAGTTTGCCACAAAGTCTTCTGGGAAATAGAGGAGAGAAAACTTCGCAGAGAGCCTTGACACCTGGTGGGAGGAGGGGGTCAAACAGACCCAGCAGCTGCCAGGTAGAGTATCTTTTAAACAGCATCCTTTTTCCCAGAGCTGAAATCCAAATTACTCTCCCCAAAAGTCAACTGTAAAAGTATATACAAAGGAGACTCCAGATACAAAGCTTACTTTATCTGAGTGATTCATTACTGGCTGGGTTCTGAGAAGCTGGGGCTCTGGAAAGTTAATATGGTGGCAGACAAGGCTGTGCATCTTGTGGCTTTGTAACAGAAAACACACAAGGAGGGAGGGAATTCTCATTTCCAAGTGGCTACTGCAGGCTGGGTACTAGCCTAGACTCATTAGATTTAGTATCTCACCTAATCCATAGAATATATTGATAAATGGCACTATTATTCCCACTGTATAAATGAGGAAGTTGATACACAAAAACACTAACTAACTTGTCTCAGGTCACACAGCAAGTGGCAGAGCTGGATTAGAATCCATTTCTATCTGACCTCAGAGCCCATGCACCTAAATGGATTTGGTCTTTGTGGTCTAAAGCTGTCCCCTGGCATCAGGAGGTAAAAGCATGAAGGTAGATCATCCTCATGGGGCCAAAGTTGAAGTCACAGTGTTAGTACACCAGATTCATTAGCATCACCACACTTTATGAAACAGCAGAGTTGAGAGGGATCACATGAAGTTATTTTTAGCTGATTTCTAAACTACATACATACATATATATATTCTTGCATTGTATTCAAATATTTCACATTGTAAAAGCTGTCCTGAAATGTAATATTCGAGAGTACAGAAGACAGGTGTAATACAGCCTCAATATACCAGTGGCCCACAAGAAATGTAAGACATGGGCAGCAGCCTTCTCCTTAGCTACCCCAATGATACACAACCTTTGTTTGTTGTTTTCAAGAGTCTGCACTGGCACCAAGGCAGCTTGGAACCTGAACACAAACAGCACCCTCTGTTATTAACAAAGAGGCCATTGGCAGACCATCAGGTGGCAAACTTAACTTAATACGCTTATTGGCCATTTCTCTTGGTTAAGCTTTTACCAAGAGGTCAAGCAGACTTGAATTTCAAGAGAGACTAGATCATTTGTACCCTCCCATAAACACACCAACCTCCTCTGGATCTGGGCCAGGACTGCGTGAATCCTCTCACTGTACCATGTGCACTTCTCCTTGGTGATGCAGACATGGACCAAGCTCCCATCCTTCCAAGGAGCGTGGATAAATCTGCTACAGTATTTTGCATGGACTGTTTTCTTTTTGGTCTCCTAAGGAAAGGGCAAAGAACAGAAGCCATTCAGAAACCATACAAAGAAGAAAAGTCTCCAGATGGCATCTCCATCTCTGCCTTATTTACTCAGCCCTTAGCACGCACTCCCATGGTAAATTCATTCAACTGTCGGTTCGACCAAATGTGACCTATTTGTGCTAGACGTCACAAATGATGCTCAGAAAGAAATGCACAATCCCATCTGTACCCCAGAGAAGATAGTGTATCCAGTGGGTAACACCTAGACAATGAGTGTGGATGAAAACAAGGTCTGAGGATGGCACTTTCGCATTTAGGCATTTAGAGGTTGGGGATATGGGAAAGAAGTAACAAAGAAGGTTGAGAAAAAATAGCAGTGAGGTAGGAAGAAACACAGGACAGGTATTTTCTGCAAGTAAAAAAACTTCAAGGAAGTAACCAACTATATCAAATGTTGATACTAGGCCAACTAAGAAAGAGACTGAGAATCAACACCTGGATTTAGCTATTCAGGTATGAGTGGGTTTTGGTGGAGGGGGGCCTTTGCCTGACTAGAGTGTGTTCAACAGAACATGGGGAAACCACAGAATTTTAGAGGGGGAATGTGGAGTTAAATTCTAAAGAGGAGAAGAGAAACGAGGCTAATGAGGTACAGACAGAGGCAACAGGAGGTCAAACGCTGTATTTTTAATATGGGAGAAATAACACTATGTTTGCATGCTGATGGGAAAGGTCTGGAGATGAGGGCAATATTGATGATGTGGAATAGAAAAGGGAGAAAGAACAAGTGAGGGACCAAATGGGTATCAGTGCACACATGGAGGTGCTGGCCTTGGACAGAAGCTAGGACAGTATAGCCATCCTAGAAGAAATAAGAGTAGAACATACAGGTGCAGATGATGGGAGATTTGTAAGATGGAGGCAGGTGTTCGTAGATGTTCACTTCCACATTCAGTGAAATAGAAGGCAAGGTCACCTGCTGACAGAGAGCATGGAGGTGAAGGTGTTGAAGTTTGAAGAGGAAGAAGAAGGTAGACATCTTGCAAAATGAGAGTCTGAGTGGATTGGGCGAGCACAGTGAGATTATAGGGCACCACAAAGTTAGAAGTTAGAAGTCATGGATTTAAAGTGAAACCAAGCATTGTGACTGTGTGTTTTTCTCCAGTTTCTTCCACTGCAGTCAACTGCACAGGTATAAAGCAGAAAAGGCAGTAAGTTGAGATTTAACCAGGGTTGAGATTTTGCCAGAGGAGTGCAATAATGTGAGAGAAAACATAGTTGAGGACATACGAGAAGGACTGAGGATAGAGGAGACAGAGAAAAGGTGATAGAAACAAATTCTACATCCCAGCAGGGTTGAAAGATTGGTGGAAGTAATGACCTAAAAAAAGTGGTCAGATTGTGGATCTTTGGAATCGATGAAGTGGGTTATGATTACAAGACCAAGGGTATGCCTACAACAGGAAGGGGAGACATGGAGTGGAGGAGAAAGTTGTTGGAGGATGTCGGAGAAACGAAAGATCAGGGTAAGGGATGTGCCATCCTCATGTGACTGACATCACTAAGACTTAAAACAGTTGAAGCCAGTGACAGTGAGCCAGAAGTTTACTGTCGGAGGCTTCACAAAGGATTGACAGAGGTGACCTGGGGCTCAGTAGGTGACAGCCACAGGAGGTGTAGTGGGTGGTACTTTCTGATGACATAGGAAGAGGGTGGGAGAAGGATCAAGAAACAGCAAAGAAGAGCAAGGAAGCCACCTCTGGGCCACAGGATGCTGGGAGAAAAACCAGGGTTCTCAAGAGAGAGAACCGACAAGCAAGTGAAGGAAACATCTCAGAGCACCTGAGGTTCTAGGGGGATTGCTTATGACTTCTAGCTCTGGAGTGCATGGTACAGGGCTTCTAGGAGTCAGGGAGGAATAGAGGAGGAGGCTTGGAAGGGAGGTCCGAGCCACTCAGGGATGAGATTTAGGGGTCTGGCGGTGACTGGTGAGAATAGGGCTGAGGGCACGAAGAGACTGGCCCTGCTGTGGCCCAGGCAGTGGAGAGAGAACCACTGCTTCACCTCAGAGCAAAGATGGAAGGAGAAGGATGTCCACTCTCTCATTCTCACCCCGTTCCCGGGGATAGCACCCAAGAGAGTTCTCCCTACTCTCAACCCCATCACATGGAATCTCCCAGCTGTGCCTTGGGCACTCCCAACTAGAAAGTTATGTGAATACAGATGTCAGGCAGGAGAGTGTCAAAATGATAAAGAAAAGCACAGTGTGAGAGCAAAGCAGAGCTGAGTTCAACCTTGGATAGCAGGTGAGTTGCCTAACCTCTCTGAGGCCCTAAGACTTTTTCTCATGAGAGCACCAATATTCATCTTTTATCTAAAGCACATGGGCATTCCATAAATGTCTATTTCTGATTCACCATGTTTGCAATAACGGGAAGGAGGAAGGTAATGTCTACTGGGCGTCTCCTGAGCGCCAGGCACTGTACTCAGATATGCATTTTTTAATTTGGACTTTAACACCACTCACATTACAGATATGAGAGTGAGACTCAAACAAGTCAAATTATTTGCTCACTAGTCCATAATTAGTAACGGGTAGAAATAGCATTCACACCCAGGTCTTCTCATTCCAAATCTGGTGCACGTTCCACCAAACCACACTGCCTAGTACATAGTAAAGGCTCAATAAATATTTGTTAGAGGAATAAATAGTGAGACTAGCGTGGCTTTTTGAACATCAGGGCTGGCTTTGTACACAAGCAGCATAAATAACCATGAATAAGACTTCATGGGTGCCCCAAAATATTAAGTTACTAGATGTTGCCTAAAATGCCCTAATTAGAAATATATTTTTGTCTCCTCCTCCCACCTGGTCGTTTATCTTAGAAATGCTACACAGCAAGGCCTTTTTTGTCATAGATGTAGAGTTTCCTAGATCCATACCTACCAACCAGTTTTTAGAGTTAAAAGGTTAGGGAGTCCTAGACAGTGGGAGGGATCTTGACCTATTTCACAGCCTCAGTTTCTCCCTACCTTATATACATCACAATTTTAGTCATAAATCCAGTTTCAGATATGTGGCCCCAAATAGTAAAAAAATGGTCCCCTTTTCATCATTGTGAAAGAGGGCAGCTGTACTATATACTTCTCAACTTTCAGTGTATTATTATTTGTTAGCACAAGAAATTTGAAGTGAAATTTCCCATTTGTAAGCCTGATTTGTCAAATTGCCCCCATAAAATTTCATTTAAAACTGTCAAGAAAGAACAAAGAGAAAATCAGTATTAGAGATAAGCCTGAGTGTACCACCACACTGTCACAGTAAGCTATGTTCAAATGGACAGGGATTCATATCTTTCAGTATCCAGGGCCTAATGCATTTTAAAAATAAAAATTTAGTTATGAATAATTTTCTGAACTAATGACATATCTGAATAATGTCCACAAAATCAGAAGACTGTACTGGGCCAGGAAACGAACAAATGAGATTTCCCTGTAATGCAGCAATTATTCTGTGTCCCAGTGTCTGCACCAGGAAACAAGTCTTACGTCAGTGCTGCATTTTTCTAATTCAATTTTTATATTTTCTTCCTTGTAGTTTTGTCAACACATGGCAGTGAGAGAGCAAAAACACAACATCATGTGGCTGTTATACTCCAAAGGAAAGAGCCCTTCCCCAGAGGATAAGGAGCCCTGTGGCCAGATAGCCCAAGGAGTGTCGGAGACTGGGTTTTCACCTCTGAATTGACAGACATCTCAGTGGCAATCTTGACATTGAATCAGAGCCTTAGGGAATATGTAAAGCTGCCTGCATTTGAAAAAGACCTTGACTTCCTCTCCCAGTTGTTTGCTCTGTTGCTGGCATTTCAGCTTTCACTTCACAGTGTGTAACTGGGCCTTTACTATCTTCTAAAAGAGATTTCTTTCAGTTTTACAAATTTAGAATATTTCTCAGCCCAATTTTTTGTTTCATATTGTGACACATTTTAGTCTTTCCAGAATTCTAAACTAGTCTTTCCATAATTCTAAGCTCTGAAAGTCTTCCGTGTCCTGTTCTACACATCAATGTTTCTTGAAGTGTGACCCTTGGATCAGTAGCTTCGCTTCATCTAGGCATTGTTATCAATGCAGATTCTTGGCAGCCCCCTCAAACCCATTGGCTCCTGCACTAAAGTTTAGGAGCCACTGCAACAGGTCATTATCCTTCCGTTGTGAGCCAGTCGAGAAGCTGTATTCCTTTTGGACCCACTGGCACCATGAAACTACAGCTTTCAAAAGTTTTCCAACCCTTCTAGGGCTGTAACCCCTTAGAGAATCTGATTTTATATTTACTATGAATCCACAAAATACAGGCTGGCAGTCCTTAGACTGATGTATCTTTAAGACAGTGACAATATAAGAGGACCCTAGAAATGTCTGCTTGGGGCATATTCACCAGCAATTTCTCTCTTCCATTCAACATCAGGGCTTAAAGGGCTTCTCTTCTGACACACTGTTGAATAATTCTAAGAGTCATAATGCCTGAATTTCTACGAGCCCAGCTCCTGGCTTATGGATAATTATTGTATGATTCACTTATCTCTAGAAACCATTCTCAGACTAAATCCCCACTCCCATAAGCACAACTCAGAGCCACGGATGGTGAGAAGCAGAGGGGCACCCTTCTACGTGAAAACCCCATTCAGTTTCCTCTATGCTACCTTCAACCTTGGTCCTGCCCTGGGCTCTGGTCTCAGGAAGGCCACACCCACCCAGGGCACTGAGGGAAGGCCATAGCCCTGCAGGATGCTCGTCACTTACCGCATTTGTCTGCGTGGACTCATTCTCAGGTTTGGTTTTTATATCAACAACTCCGTCAGCGTGGCGGAAGGAGCACTCAGCAAGAACATCATAAAATGACAGTTTCTGGGCTTTTAAGCCATATTTCTGCAGCCACTTCTTGGAGTCCCAGGTGTCTTCTAGATTTGATTCGTTCGGAACAGAGGTGGCTCCAGATTCTGTTTTTGGAATCACAGCTCATCAGCCATCCATATCACACAAACCATTTGTATTTCACCCCACCTCAGTATTTACCAAGCAGAAACTGTTCTCTGTTAAACCACATTCTTTTCAGGAAGTACACATTCCAAAGCAAGACTGGTAGAGAGCTGGGTCACAAGACTAGAAGGCAGAAATCTGATGCTTTTCACCCCACAGTCCCCTCTGTCTAAGTTGACTGGCACCATGCACAGGTGGAGATGGCCAACAGATCAAAGCTGTGTGTCGTGAGAGACTGAAACTTGGGGTCAGAAGCTCTGGGTTCAATTTCTGCCTCCATCACTTACTAGCTTGGGTTAGTCACTCCACTTAACCTCCCCGAGCGTCAGCAGAATTCTTCGCCCGCAGATGGCATCTGCTGGGTCTTCCTAGATGTGTTGGAGTAATTCAAGGGGAAAAGTCATGTGGAAGTGCTTTGTAACAAGCAGGGAGAAGTTGGGGCATGTAACCTGCACTGAGGTGGGAATGAATCAACCCTGGAAGGCTGGCAGGCTGCCTCCCAGAGCTTCCCTGTTAACTTGATGGATTTATCCTGACTCAGAGCCTGGTCCTCAACTCTGCAGGTTCAGAATCTTCACATGTCAGTTCTGGCCCCAGGAGTTGATCTATGGCAATTCACCTTAGTCAGATTCACAGGATAAAGTATAACCCAGAAGGCCAACTGCCCAAATATCCCCAGCCTTAGGAACAGACCCTTGGTGTTTTCCAAAGCTTTCCTGTCCTCCCTAAGTGGTAGGAGGTATTATGCTGTATGAGCAGAAAAAAACACAAAAGCCAGCTATCATACAAGCAGAAAAGTATTTATCTTGGTGGCTCAAAACTCTTGCTGCCATCTGAGAGAGACCAGGGTATCTGAGGGAGGGAGATGGGCACCAAGAAGGCAAGCAGATCTGAAGCTGAGGAGGAGGAGGCATGGGTAGCTGGAACTGACTTGTACTGGCCCATGAGAGCTGACGGCACCTCTCCTGCCAGCCCCATGCTCAGTGGTAGCATATCGCTGGGGGAGCGGGGGGGTGAAATTGACCATGCTGGGAGTATTCACAGAATTTAGAAATCAGCAAATATTACAAATCGGGGCTTTTTTAATTCCAGAGAGTGGATCAGTAAACATTTATCTGCATGCCTGCTGGAAGGAAGGCAGAAGGGACCCTGAGCTTTCAGCCCCACAGAAGGGACAGCACAGCACTAGAAGGACCGAGAGGTGCTGGGCAGAGGTGGGTTTTTATTGAGCGTACTACTGAGTATTAGGTCCACCAGCTCTACAGAGTTTATTTCCACTTAGATCTGTGGTTCTAACTCTGCACACTGGAATCCTCTGAGGAGTTATAAAAATACTGATGCCTGGGCCCCACTCATTAGATTCTGTTTTAATTGGTCTGGACACTGGGATTTTTCAAAGCTTTCCAGATGATTATACCATGCATACAAACTTTGCACTTGGGGTAAGACGAAAAGAGCTTTCTAAATTATGAGTTGGTGATCCCATCGGTTATGCTTCCACCAGACACAGAGTCAAGTCAAATTATACTTTTAATTAAAAAGTACTGCTCACTATTAGGGAACAAAAATATGACCCATACTTGCCCATTACTATATTTAAGGGAATATATAATTAGAATAAGATTTGGAGACATAAAACACTTTAGAGCCAACTGCTCTCAATAATAGGTAAAGTATCTGTCCATTAATTCTATATGTGAGCCATGTCCTCAAATATTAATAGAACACTTTTTAAATAACACATTCTGAAATCTATTGGAGCTGGAATACCTTAAGAATACCTTGTTTTTGGCTTTTGAACTTTAAACCAACCTGGCATGGAAAGCCCCTTTAGGTACCATCCGCAATACCAGCACTTGGTTTCTATGTGACTCGCAAAGTGTCCTCTCACCCTATGCAGGGAGCTCCGATCAGAGTCTTCCCAGAGCTTCTGATGCCCAAGTTTCCTCTGCACATTCACCTGCATCATAGGGAAGCAGGACAAAGAGGACGGAGTCATTTCATCTGTGGAATCAGCCTCTTGAGAAATTCTTTGGGTGGCCACTTTGTCTGATGATTGTTAATTACATTCTGAGTCTCTGTCGCCTTTGTTCCTACTTTATTATCGCCTCCCTTTTTTCTGATCAGTAGGTGTAGAAGAAAGTAAATTTTTCATTCAATGATTTCCACAGCAACACACATACTGTCACATCCTGCTCTGTTTTCGGTTGCCTTTTTTTAAAAAGCCCTTTATCAATGATAAATTCCAGCTTACCATAAAATAACTTCCTGAAAAAAAAATTCAAACCAATTTTAACAAGATTGTTTAAAGAATCTAACTTCTGACTCCTTCTAGCTTCATCAAGGATCAGGCAGGGCAGTTTAGGGCACGACTCAGACTCTAATCACCCTCCAAAAAGGGGGCTGGGAGGAGACCCCAAAGCAACCCGAACTTCATGCAAAAACAGCCTAAGTGCTCCACAGCTGAAGACAGTAAAAGAGGAAGTCTTTTCACTTTCAGTGTGTATTGTACCAATTAGTAGCTGAGCCAAATTTTGCCCAGTGGGTCAGTGGGAAGGGCCTTGTCAGGTCATCAGAGTCACTTGCTGAGGAGTTTTTTCCATTTCTCTGCAGTTGTCTTAACAAGAGCCTTACACAAATTCTCACCTCCAGAGCCCAGCATAATAAATACCTCCATTTATTAGAGATGTGAGCTCACAGCTCATCCTGGTTATACTGATTTCTTTTCCATGTGTTACATTGCTAAGGAGTTTCTGTCAGTTACAACAAGAGGAAAACATGGCAGACCACACCTATGCCACAGAATTACCTGGCATGGTCTTCTCCGTCCTAGTTAGCAATCTCGGAACATGTTTTAATGAGTAAGACCTACTGGCCAATGCTTTTGAAACATCACTGCTGCAGCCAAGGCCAAATGACAAATTGAGCACAGTGTATCAGTGTCCACTGATACCCTCAGGGTACAGTTCCTGAGAGTCTCATAGCCACCAAGGGTTCACTACCACCACAACTGCCTGTCCCACAGTGATGAATGGTCTCACGTGTCTACTTGGCTGGGCCACACTACACAGATACTTGGTCAAACATTATACTAAACATTTTTGTGAAGGTGTTTTTTAGCTGAGATTAACATTCAAGTCCATAGGCTTTGAGTAAAGTAGATTGTCCGCCTTACCACGAGTGGGCTTCCCCGCTCAGTTGAAAGACTACAGAGAAAAAAGACTGACCTTCCCTGAGGAAGAGGGGATTCTGTCAGCAGTCAGCCCGTGGACCTGGACGACAATGCCAGCCCTTCCCTGGGTCTGCAGCCTGCAGCCTGCTCTGCAGATTGTGCCAACCCACGCATTCATGTGAGTCATTTCTCTCTGTGTCAGCAGTCAGCCCATGGACCTGGATGACAATGCCACCCTTCCCGGGGTCTGCAGCCTGCAGCCTGCTCTGCAGATTGTGAACCTGCCAACCCACGCATTCATGTGAGTCATTTCTCTCTCTGCCTCTGTCTCTATACACGCACACACACATCCTATTGGTTCTGTTTCTCTGAAGAACCCCGAATAACACAGCCATTTTCCTCCACTGAAAGTAACTTGTCCAGTGCCTCATTCCTGCCATGCCAGGCCCATGTGACTTTTAAGGGAAGCACCACCAGCTAACGAACAGACTAGAGCCCTATATGGAGCCAACCTCAGAGAGCATCAGGGTCAACATTTCCCACGCTGTGTTCCACAAACATATGTCCACTGTATGGGAGTTGACATAACTCAGAAAGAGGGTTCCTTCGCAAAAAGTTTGGGGAGCTTGAAGCTAAACAGTTTCAACAGGTTCTTTATCATAGGACTTACTCGAGCCTTTGACAGAGGACACAGCAGTGGGGCCGCCATAAGCAGAGGCATAAATGGCATTTCCTAAAGTTAGTTAGTCCCAGACCCTCTCCACACAGAACATTTTGGAGGGCTTACATTTGATAGATGACAGTTTGGTACACACTGCCCAACATTTCTGTTATCACAGGTACCATAAGATACTAATCCAGCCCTTGCCTGCCACAAGGGAACTGGCATGGGAAATGGATGCTGTGAAATTAGTTGAAAAGGAAAAGGTTCAGGAGATGTCTGACAGAAAGAAAGAAAAAATATTATTCTACAAGTAGGAAGAATGTTTAAACTACATCACATGCAACTGGCCACTGAGGAATAAGGAGCAATAGGTTAGTGACAAACCTGCACAAAGGCTGAGAGGAAACCACTAGTGGAGCACAGACTACAAGAGAAGAATTTTGAAAACCACATTTTCATGTATCTACATCTAAAATGACATTTAAAATAAGCCGAAAATAGTTCAGGGTCAGTGACGTAGGAAGAATATTACACCTCAGGCAACTATTTCTTTAAAAATAGTGTGACCTGGCTAAATAAACAAGTCAATTCAAGATGTTTCGTATAAAGTGAAAAAATCAAGATTGAGAACTGAGAAAAGAATAAATGGACTTTGAGAACTTTAGATTAAGAACCTGAAATTCATGTCACAGGGAGAATGGGAACTCTGCAACAGAGTGGGAATACTGGAATTAAACCAAGACAGAAATCTGAATCTGTTCCCTTCAGAAATTAAAATATTTGCCACTTTTTTGATCTTGCATCACCATCACCAAGGTATTTTTTTTTTCACTTTTAGTCAGCATATTTATTTCTTGTATTCTTTAAAAAATTGTTGAGATATAATTCACATTCTATAAAATTCACCCTTTTAAAGTGTACCATTCTGTGGTTTTTGGTTTATTTACATGGTTGTGCAACCATCACCACTATTTAATGCCAGCACATCTTCATCTTTTGAAAGAACTAACTTTTGGTTTCTTTTATTTTTGCTATTATTTTTCTATTCTCTATTTCATTTATTATTCTCTAATTTGTATTATTTCCTTCATTCCACATGCTTTCAGTTCAGTGTCTTCTTATTC